AACCGGACTGCAACTAGGGATATTACATTACATGTGTTTAGTTGTTATTCTTATATGGTTTTATAAATAGAATTGCCAAATTTATCATTTAAAAGGACTAGTATGGATAGCATCGTTAAAAGATACGATGAAAAATAAACAAAGAAACTATTTATATTAAACTGATTAAAACCATTTTTGTTATTCCACTCCGATACTCTTCCCGTGATACTGTGTAAACCTTATGTAGAAATACGATAGTCAATTTATAAGAAATACTTCTGTAATATAACTTAACTGTTTAACAAAATTGTTGTAATTGATATTATGAGCAGGCATCCTAAGGTTACATTTTGAATATACGCGTCAAAATCAATATTTTGTATTATAGGTCCCAGGCAAGTTCAACATCATTCAATTTTATATTTGTTAATAAAACAGTGATAAGGGTTATGTGCATTCAAACTGTTCAATAAGTTATCTTAAATGCTATTTTATGTCAGATAAGAAGAGAAAGGTAAAAGATAAAAAGGTAACAAGTATATGTGTCTGCCCTAATATCGTCGTTTAGTGAATAGAACTGATACAAAGGAATGTAAACCTTTAAACGCGTGAGTAATTGAACTAGAAGTACAAAATGTTTAGGTAGCAGAGTACAGTAGAAATGGCCTGATCCTAACAATAAAGGGCATGTCTCAGATAAACATGGATAGTGGATTCATCCTGAACAACCCAATTACATATATATATATATTTATAAACTATATTTTGAATACATTTTGTATAGAAGACTGATATTTTTTTTTCAAAACTGTTTCCCCCAAATTTGGGACTTGTGAAAACCATGGTTACCACATAAAATAACACCAAAAAATGCAAAATAATGTGATATTTAACCCAAAATTTGACCCCTAGTATATTTTTTTTCTTAAAATCTGTCTGAAATTAAATATCGCCTACTTGGTAACAGAAATACTCACGTTTTAGCATAAGACATTCCGGTGGACTTTTTATAATGTTTACATATGTGCGGAGTACAAAAATAGACTACATGAAAAGCTAGCTTTTGTTGTGTAGTCACATATTTGTAAATGCCCCAAACTGTAGTCTCAAACCAATTTCGATTTTTGTTTTTTTAAATTATGAGTCCCACAAAGTCCACTACATCATGTTCATGCCAATTTTAGTGCTTTTTAACTTTTGATACATGTAATATTACTGGGGTAAGTCATTGTATAAAAAAATATCACCCATGGCCACCGTACGCTACTGTACACTGCTACCTTATACAGGTACAAGTATACTAGAAAAACGTTAGACTCCACAGGTGATGGCTTTCGCATATTGTTGTCTGTTTGTATCTAGGGCTTATGTTGTCATATGATCTTTGTAAAAATACACTAACCCTTGCACATACTTTTCGTTTGTAATACAAAGATATGTCTATTATGTTTACTGTATTCATAAATGTACTCATATAAGGTGTAATATACTCTTTCACGGCGTTTACATGTCAACATTGATTCGAGAGATTAAATAAATACATAAAAGGGCAAAACAGACTAATAGAGATTGTGACTGGTTAGATTTTAGACATATACGCAATAAGTGTGTCAACCTAATTAGGCAGTCCAAAGACAAATAATTCAACAAACTGTCGTTAGAACTTTCTGTCCCAAATCGTTCCAAGTCATGGTGGAAAGTTCTTAACAAATTCATGAAAACAGACACAAAAAATCCCACATCCATGTCATTATTAGTTATGAAAATTATTACGATCATGATGACAATTCTTATTTTTCTAGCCAACCTAGAGTTGATGATTCCGCTACCGTACTTCCGGAAGATAACTCGTGTATCTCTCCCAACAAACTTGGTCAAATTATAATAACAAGCGATGACGCTAAAGATATACTGGTTAATCTGGATCCGTCCAAAGCAGATGGACCCGACCTAGTCAGCCCCAAAGTCTTAAAGAGACAGCCAATGTTCTTTGTAATCCTCTTGCCTTTTTTTTATTAAATGTCTTGCCATGTCTAAATTGCCGTCGTCATAGAAAGGAGCTAACGTCATACTTGTTCATAAAAAAGGAAAACGAGATGACGTCAAGAATGTTCGTACCATATGTCTTAGGAAAAGTCTTTGAACGCTGCATATTTAAATATTTGTACAATTTTCTTCGTCAAAATAGCCTTACTACTAGCTGTCAATCAGGCTTCACACCCGGGAACTCTACTATAAACCAAATACTTAGTATATCTTACGACTTTGGTAAAGCTCTAGACTCAGGCAAAGACATTCGAGCAGTATCCTGTGATATCAGCAAGGCGTTCGACCGTGTCTGGCATCGAGGCCTTCTTTTCAAATTCAAAAGCTTGGCATATATGGAAAGTTATTAAACTGGTTTGAAGATTATCTTCTTGACAGAAAACAAAGAGTTAATTTAAATAATTGCAGTTCTAATTGGGCATCTATTACTGCCGGAGTACCCCAAGGCTCTATCCTTGGACCTCTGCTCTTCTTGGTGTACATTAATGATATTGTGTATGATATAAAGTCCATAATAAAACTGTTTGCCGACGATGCGGGACTGTATATGGTAGTAGAAATCCAATGACGACACATCAAATTCTGGAATCGGACTCGGGACAAATAAATGCATGGTCACGCCAGTGGCTTGAGTATTGAGATATAGTGTGGGGGAACATACCGAATGAGTTGGGAGGAAACTTGAAAACCTCAATATCGAAGCCGCTCGAATCTTAACAGGTGCAACTAAATTAGTAAGCGTTGACAAACTTTTCAATGAAACAGCTTGGGTTTATTCGATCGGAGGCAAAATCATAAAATTATCCAGTTCCATAAAATGTTCTATCAATATACACCTGAATATTTATATAGCCTTATCCCAAGTACTGTATCGGAAGGGCATCGATATGATACCAGAAACTCTGACCATACCTTTGTTACTCCAATATTGAGCAAAACGTCCTTTTATAAACAGTCATTTCTACCTTCTGTTATAGACCAATGGAGTAGTCTTCCACAAAATGTACGATCAAATCCGTCTACTTCTGCTTTGAAACCCTATCTTGACAAGCAACATACTAAGAAAACGCCTACCTATTACAACGTTGGTATCCGCAAGGGCCAAATATATCACGCACGACTAAATGGTCATTTATTTGCTATTTGCTAAAATATTGCTCCATCTCCATTATGCATGTGTGGTGAAGTCGCAGACAATAAACATTTTTTATTAGAATGTAACAGGTACGATCAAATAAGAAGACGCTACCTGCAATGTTTGCCCCATGATGTTACTTTGGAGTTATTATTATTTGGAGATGATTCGTTTTCATTAGCTGAAAATAAGTTAATATATCTAGCTGTACAGAATTATATACTTAAAACTGGCAGATTTTCTTTAACTGAATAATATGACATGTTAACTTGTACAATATATATCTTACATTTACCCCTACCAATTTACTCTTAGGAATTTTAAACTATTGTTATTTCCATTAATTATTGGTATATATATATGCGTATGTTGTGTGTATGAATGGTGTTATCACGTACTGAATATATTAGTTGCTGTTTAGTATACTTGGTGATAGGTTTATATAACTGTCTGTGACACTTGTTCTTATTTCCCTTTGTCTTCTCTGTTCATTCTAATAACATGCTTGAACTGAAATAAAAAAAAGTTTAAACAAAGAGATAATTCCGTAAATTGCAGGCGGACAAACTTACAACACAGGGTCCTAAAATGCAGACTATAGACAAGTTTTAGGGGCGTGATCATGATCTTATTAAAGTTAAAGTTATTTCATTAAAAAAAGATGTTATAGTCAAATCAATACTTAGTGACCAGCTCCAGTATGAACTTGTATGTTATATGTATTAACAAATGGGTTTAATTAAAATAAACTGATAATTATTTGCTTAGGTCTATATCATATGGTGTTGAATCTCATAAATTGAATGGTTTCTTCATAGTTCGTTTCCTGCAGATTCGAGGTTAGCGTAAGCGTGCTGCAAATCACTGAATGTATTAGGAGGCGACTTATGTGAGGCCCCTGCAAAAGTGGGGTTTCGTTGTGCATTATTATATAAGGCGAAATCAAATTCAATATTTTAGATCTTTATGTTTTTGTTCTTTTCTCATCTGCCCCCTACTCTTTTTTTAGTGATGTCTCGCTTGTAGGCATCTATATTCATATGCCCTTGAGGTGGCGAGGACGATAAACAAAAAAAAGAACAAACCTGTAAATTCATTATTCACAGTTCATTAAATTTGTCTCAAGACCAATCCAATTTATCATCTTGTGAAATCGAAAAAAGGAAGATTCAATCCTTAATTGAAAAGTACAAAAACCTGAAACCAATTTATTCATAGTGTAAAAGTACAATAACTGATTTTTTTATCAAACCAGTTATTGTCAATGATATTTCTGTAGCGTGGTAATGGTGACGTTACATAGGTAAGATGATATCGTTTATCACATAATATGTCATGTTAGCCATTTTAGGATGCAATATATCCGAGATGTTTGTGTTCTATGTTCTATTTATGGATCAATAAAAAACACTACGAAAAATATGTATGTTATCCTTGGTAGTTCATCCAAGTAAAACTAAAATATACTATTAAATCCATATCAGTCGCTCAATCAGTCATAGCTTAGACAAAGGTAACAGTCTTATTATTGGCTCAAACTTTACTGAATTTTTATTTATCAATATTTATTTTGACACTTATCTTTTGAATTTGATTTCACGGACGGTATTGTTATGAAGTGTATGGTAGTTTGATACCAAAGCATGAGATTATCTGTCTTAGAAGTGATGAAATATAGCCGTAATTAGTGGGAACAGCTCTTAATTTGAAACAGTAAGTGAGAACGAATTTTGCGAGCCTTCGAAAACGCCTGTTTCCTTTGTCAAGCTAGGAGTGCAAATTACCAGCATATTGACTCTAAACCTCTGAAACGACTCTTCTCTTTGTATAATTTCAGGTGCGTTCCTCGTCCCTTTTGTGATATTTATGGTGATATGCGGAATGCCTTTGTACTACCTGGAACTTTCTCTTGCACAGTTCGCCGGGAAAAGCACACTTGTTGTCTGGGAAATTTGTCCCCTTTTCAGAGGTACATGATATATATGTTAAAGGATTAACCTTTTATTTTGATTAGTTTATTTGATAATATATCCAATGGAGAACAAGGGTAAATTGTGCAAACGCATTTACCTCGTGCTCCATTGGATTTATTATCAAATAAAGTAAACCAAATAAAAGGTTAATCCTTATGTTTACAATATTTTCTTTTAACAATAACACCATTAAAAGAGTCGGATGCAAGCATTACCTTGTGTAATCTGCGTTCAAAAATATTTTGACGTCATGTTAAACCCGTTGACAGACAGCTAAACCCCGCCCACTTTCTTCGTGACAACAAAGAAAAAAAGTTCCTTCTTTTCAATATTTGTATTCACATAAAATATCCATATTATACTTCATACTTCATAATTGTATTAGTAGGTAATGTAATAAATAATTTTACATTTGTATCAAATTGAGGTATTGGGGCAAAATACTAATGACCGCGGACGTCCATCGTTTGAAAGTGATGCGCCCAAAGGCGGGAAATAGAGAGTGCTACTATGTCGTCGAGCGATATTGACCAGCCTTTAGGCCTTGTGGAAATTGAATGTGCAGTTATCGAAATTGCTGTTTGTAAGCATACCAGAGGTTTGTACAGATGACATGTATGATGTGGATAAATTGTTTGTTGGCCGAGTGACTGTTGATGTAACATTTAGGAGACGAGAAATTTGACCTACATTTCTAGGAACGATAGTCATCGTTTCTGTGGCATGGCGGCCGACACTCATATATGAGAGAGTGGAGCTCAATCGCGACTGTAGCTTCTGACACTTATATTGGTGTCTCGAACGCACGGTAGACATTGACACGAGGTTTGCGGAAAGAAGTTCCCCAATATTTACATATTTACATACGCGGTGAACTGGGCCACTCAAGTTATTGAGAAATACACAGACTTGCTCACACCTAGGTTACCTATTCAGAAACAATGGCAATTGTAAATATAATGTTTTGGGGTAAATTTCATAGATGTATATTAGTTTGTAAATGTAATTTTATTTGCAAATTCGTTACCATATGGGTATTAGACACTTCACTGCAGCGTAAAACACCATTATTTCAAAATGCATTCATGATGTCACATAATTGAGCTTGATATGACGTCAGAATCTAAAACAGAAGAGCGAAGGTTAGTGACGTTACCATAACACAAAATGTCCGGATTATTCAGAAGTTAGTAATACATTTTTGTATATTTTACCAGGCCTGGGGTTCTCCATGTGCTGTATTTCCTTCGTGTGCACCTGGTATTCCGGTCTGATCATGGCGTGGACTCTTTGTTATCTTTTCTACTCCTTCTTTCCCACACTGCCGTGGTCCACGTGCGACAATTCCTGGAATACGGACATGTGCGTGACACTAAGGACCAAGATTGTGACGTCCAACAACATCACAACCCTTGACAACATGACGTATTTTGATAACAACACGTCAATGACGGCATCAGAAACGCTCACAGATATCGGCTTCTACCCAACGGCTGCAAATGAGTTCTGGAGGTAATGCTTGCAGCATCATAGTTTATGATGTGTCAACCTTACGATATCGGTCATATCAAAACTTGACGAAGGGGGATAGCTCTCCACCCAACCTTGCTTAATATCTATAAAAATTGCCTGCGATTTTTTCTAATGAATGACTCTTTTGTATAAACATTTTCTATTTGTTAAATAAATAATTGCGAATTTATTTTAAGTTAAGGATTCCATCATAAAAAGTCCAGGTAATAATGATAGGACCCCTGACCGTGAGGTCATTGTTCACATGTATCATGAATTTACTCACCTTTGTAAAAACTGGTAAAAATGTGTTCATGCCTTCATACATTACCCAACAGCGATATCATCTGCCCCCCAAGCGCTGTAGCATTACTAATTTAGGAACCACGTCTACGTTATGGTCAGGTTACGGGGTGATTACTAAGTTGAGCACGTGTAAATCAAGTAGATGCTTGTCTTAACTATCATATTCATCCTTCATATCAAGGGGCACAGATATCCTTTTCAAATCTTAATAACGAATGGTCGGTCTTATAAAAGCAACAGCCTGAAATTAGCATAAGCTTTCGTTAACGCCACCAAAATATGGTTTTGATGACGTCGCATAATTGTGTCTCGTTTGCGGACAATTTGCATAGCTCCGCCCATTTGAACTTTTGTAAACGTCACAGAAACTTTTCACATTCTATGGTCAGGCTGCGAGATGATATCAAGTGAATATATCAATGTCCATTATTGTGTTGTAACGAACAAATGAGGATTAATAGCATCAATCACTCCTGTGTGTAACGTAGACAGAATAATCTCAAAACAAGGGTAATATTGTGTTCAAAAATTGTATCCCGAGGGTTGAAATTTCTCGTTCTACATTATACATAATTATTGATTCTTTTTCTCCAATAGTTCCTCATCGTAAAAGTAGTAATGTTGAATCAGATGTTCCACGCCAACATAAGTGGCGCATGAAATCTGTGACAAAATTGATGACGTGACACTGGTTACGTGACATGAAATGATGACGCGGTGATGACGTTGTCAGAATAACAAAGCGTGTGATCGAGCTGTCTCTTCAATGAGTATAATAAACGGGTGCTGTGTAAAACTAGCTCCGCGCACGCACTGTTGCGTATTTTTCTACAAGAATAACTAACAACAATATAACATATTATCGATAAGTTTAGTTGATATATTTAAAATTACATGTACATCGTTTATGGGAATGCCAAGAGGATTAGGCACTATACAGAAATTTGAATCATTACTTGATATACTTTTAATTCCGTTTGTTTATAATAAAGAATCGTTCCTTTTTAGAATAATATCACAGTACTCTAGCTATTTTGATAATGAAACATTATATCTATAAGACTAGATGTCTTAGCAACTCCTTGAATCTGAATGCACTTATTAATATCATCAAAGATCATTTTTTTTGTGCAACAATATATGAATCAAGTAAAAGAGAGCATATTAAAAGGCAATTTAAACTCAAGTGGATAACAAATATAAGTCTATAACCAGTCTAAAGCAGTTAATAAACGTGCCTTGCATGTCATGTATGTGATGGTTCGCACAAGTTTATGACAAGTCTGAAACAATAATTAAACAAACTCACTCACTTCAACTCAAATACCTGCCTGTGATAGTATTACAAGTTTAAAACCAGTCTGAAACAAGTATTTTTTTTCTTACATGTCGGAAGTAAATGTTTCTACATTGACATGTGTTATCACTCTTAAACAAAATGTGTTTTACTGTTACATGTCTGTGATACTTAACACAAGTTTGAAATCAGTCTGAAGCAATTATTAAAACGCCATAACCTGTCTCAAGTGTCTGTAATAATAAATACTGTTAAAAAGACAGCTTCAGGTAATTTTACAAGCTTTGTTTTAAATGGTAGGTTCAGGAACCCGCTATCGATGGCTTATGGTCGTTTTTGTAATAATACAATTTGATAAAACTGCTTGTTAAACAATGAAAGGAAATCAGGGAAGACAATCAAGATACAAACAATTTGATGACTAAACAGCAAAAGTTATACATACAGTAATTTATTTCCTTCAGTTTTGAAATAAATAGGAATATCCTTTTCTCCAACACTTTCCCCTATGTACCTCCTATTTCGTAATCTTTTTAAATAATTCAAATACCGCTACAACCAGGTCCGTTTTCGTTTAAGCGGTTGAACCGGTCGGACCACAGTTGTTCGTTTTTTAAATAAGGTCGGACCTAGTAATCTGATGCTACTTTCAGGCGAACTTTGATAAAGTCTTACAATGCATGCATACACAGTTCCAGGCCCGCCAGGATTTATACCCGAAGTTGTTATTCACATAAACGAACAGGCCCCAGACGTATAGTTGATGGCACTAAACTTCTACTTTTACTTTCACATACTTTAAGGAGGTTTCAATCACGTTCAAATCTCGTTTTGATCTGGTGTAGCGGGTTTATGTAATATTAAACAAATTATGATTACCAATTCGGCGGCCATTTTGAAAATGTGTATTAATGTGTAGTTCTTGCGCTTCATAAAAGGCCAAAATTTCACCTTTTTTGGCACTTGATTGATTACTTAAATTTTCATTGTGTCGCCATTTTTAATTGTTGCTGGTTCAATTTTGCTGTACAAGTTTATAATGTTTAATGTGATAAAAATAATATGCAAAAAACTGGAAAATTATACATCATTGCTATCTTTTTTTTTTACATATTTGGTGTAACTGAAGCCCTTTTGATTTTTGACTCCGAAAAGGGTCAAAAATAACACAAATGAGGAGGGACAAAAAAAGAAGCACATGGATCCTTTGTTGTGGATGTTTTGCAAAGAGAAACACATTTTCTTTTAATTCATTAAATATTAAAAAAAGTTTGATAGCAGAACTTTTTAGATCAAGCTTTTAATTTGCAAGATATGGTAACAAAATGAGGGTTTTTTATTAAAAATTAGGGAGTAGGAGTAACTAAAATCAGCTTTCTAAGTTAAAAGAAAAAGATTATGAAATTTAACTTCCATAATTTAATAGAAAATAACATTTTTATCAATTCTACAAACATCTATACATATCTGATAACACACTCGGAGGAAATTGTATGAATTTGTTCTGCAAATGGTCAAAACACAAAAAATCACCAAAAATCACATGTTGTGTTATATTGGTACCTTTCACCGATCATAGCACAAAAACGAACACACGGACATATAGTGTTTTTTTGCATTTTCTACTATGTCATTAACACCTTTTTCCAAAAATCCGTATCAGAAAAAAAGTTTAATACAGAAAATTTTTGACTTCTCAGAGGTGTACATCCTTAATTCCGGTTAAAAAATACAAAACTGAGGATTCTGATTAGGCAAAACTGGCAGTGCACAACTTCCGTTTATAACACTCCTTTTCTTTGGTAGGTGAAGACAGATGATCTCGTGCCTGGCAAAACCGGAAATGCACCTTTGAAGTGTCGGAGAAAAAAAATACATTGTACTTGTGTCACGGCTACTGACATTTCATTTCATTTTCTTTTTTATTTGTGTCTCGAAAATATGTGGAGTTCAAATAAATTGGAGTTTTCAAAAGTTTCACTATATAGTGATACTCAAAGAACGGATTTGATGTTTTTTAAGCATTACATTTGATAAGGTTTTAACAGCATTGAGTTTCTGAACACTTTAATGAACCGCATTAGGTAAATATGTCCAGAAACCCAATATTATTATGATATCATACAGGTTGAAAAAGTAGATTCCTTCCCTTATACTTACATTTTGAAATGTTTTTCATTAGGCGATGAAGAAAATAATAATAAAAAAGAAGAAGCTAGGTATCTTTCTCTTTTTATGCATTGGATCAGAAGAGTAGAGAAAACTGTGTCTTCGCGGGGAAAAGAAAAATTCCGTTGGCGGTCCTAACAAGAGCATGACGACAAACAAAATATACGTGTGTACTTTAATGAGAAAAATGGAATTTGTAGAATATTTCACGTAATATGCTAAAATCATTTTCTTCAAACAACTTGTTTTATCTTTAACATTAAGGCAAGTGTGTTTGATATCATTTGAATTAGCATAATAAATATACTGTAAGAGCGAAATAACGGCGGGCCCCGACATTGTATCTATGCGGATTATGATGAAGTCGTCGGTGTAATGCAAAACATAAATGACACTCGTTGATGGGTCCAAACATACAGAATGTTAATATTAATTTACATTAACAGATACCAGATACTGCACGCATCTAGCGGGTTGGACGACGTGGGCACACCACAGTGGCATATTGTTCTGGCGCTCTTTCTCAGCTTCTTCATTACCTTCCTGTGTATTGTGAAGGGTGTCAGGTCTGTTGGAAAGGTAGGCAAGCCGGCCACAGTGTCAGGTCTGTCGGAAAGGTAGGCAAGCCGTCCAGGGTGCTGATTCTGGCGACAAAAGGTAGGTAAGCCGCCTAGAGTGTCATGTCTGTCGGAAAGGTAGGCAAGCCGCCCAGAGTGTCATGTCTGTCGGAAAGGTAGGCAAGCCAGATCAAGTCTGTCGGAAAGGTAGGCAAGCCGTCCAGAGTGCTGATTCTGGCGACAAAAGGTAGGTTATCCGCTCAGAGTGTCATGTCTGTCGGAAAGGTAGGCAAGCCACCCAGAGTGTCATGTCTGTTGGAAAGGTAGGCAAGTAGTCTACAGTGTCAGGTCTGTAGGAAAGGTAGGCAAGCCGGCCACAGTGTCAGGTCTGTTGGAAAGGTAGGCAAGCCGGCCATAGTGTCAGGTCTGTTGGAAAGGCAGGCAAGCCGCCCAGAGTGTCATGTCTGTCAGAAAGGTAGGCAAGCCAGATCAGGTCTGCCGCCAAGTCTGTCGGACAGGTAGGCAGGCCTCCCACAGTGTCAGGTCTGTCGGAAAGGTAGGCAAGCCAATTAGGGCGTCAGGTTTGGCAGAAAGGAAGGTAAGCCTACCAGAGTGTCAGGTTTGTCGACAAAAGGTAGATAAGCCGTCCACAGTGTCAAGTCTGTCGGAAAGGTAGGCAAGCCGTCCAGGGTGTCAAGTCTGTCGGAAAGGTAGGCAAGCAGCTCACAGTGTCAGGTCTGTTGGAAAGGTAGGCAAGCCGTCCAGAGTGTCAGGTCTGTCGACAAAAGGTAGACAAGTCGTCCAGGGTGTCAAGTCTGTCAGAAATAACGACAAGCGGTTTTCATCAAGGAAAACAAAAATCGTTTATTACGTTTTTTTTGTATTATTAAAATATTGACTTCTGTGTACAGATAACCAAACTGCCGCCAACCTGTATTGTGACGTCATAATAGCTTAACTTCAAGACATCAGTGAATTGCGTCATAATCGGCAATGTCCATTGTTTGTTATTTCCACACAAAACCTTACTCTCGCTCTCCTCAGATTAGGTCAATTTAGTTTGAAATTAACATAGAGAGTTATTTGTTAAAGTAGGAAAATATCAATTTAGTTGGACTGTAAATCCTTACATTTCATTGTAAAAAATGTAATAAATGTGTCCTAGATATTTGGTCGTTGACACTGTTCTTATATCTGCATGTACCCTTCCCCCATTGAGATTCGCTTCCAGTTTTTTGAGTCATTTGTTTCCCTTTGTAAGTGTCAACTCTTTTGGTTATTTTGTTTATTTTACTTTTATTTTGTTTTATTCTTCTTGTTTCTTTACATGTTGGTCTAAACTGGTTTGAATAGCATTACTTCAAATTTGATACCTATGATGTCCAGGTGTACTATGGTTATTGTCCCTCCAGGTGGTGTACGTGTCCGCCGCCCTGCCATACCTACTGCTGACAGTTATTCTCATTCGAAGTCTCACCCTGGAAGGTTCACTGGATGGAATAATGTATTTTATAGAACCAGATTTCAAAAAACTCGGGAACTTTCAGGTAAGAACGATATGTAATTTAAAATGATGAGTGGAATGGATAGTGTTATAGTAGTGCTACATTCGTTAGAGAGTGACATTGCCTTAGGTCATTCTCTAATGAATGGAGTATTTATTGTGTTACCCCGAAAAAAAGCATGGCGGTTGAAATAAACGGTTGGTGCATACATCGTCTTTGCACAGTCACGTTTTTTCATTGTCACACACACGGTCAATCGTTGCTAGGGCGTTGAGAAACACCTTCCATTTGCTCAATGATAAAGCGAATGTGACAGTGTAAAATGATCAATTTGTCTAGACCAATCAAATTACAGGATTTTCACTAAAGGTATAATGATAATATTACAAAATGATGATTCTTTCTTTTTTTACTTGATTGTACATGTCTTCATTTCACGCTTATTAACCGTCGTATCAAAAGTTGTAAAACTGCTATTGTGAAGATGAATAAATTATAAAAAGCCATTATTTCTTAATAGAAAAACTAATAATAGTCGCACCAAAGCATGTGATTTACCACTTGATTAGTTGGTTTATCAATTGACATTTATCTTTTAATCAAGTTGTTTTGCAATTATTATATATACATTTCTTTCAATAATGATTATAATTACTATAGGTGTTAGCTGTTATTGTGTATTTGACAAGATTTGGTCGTTTGTCAAAATATTTTATATTTTAATCAAATTGTTTGTGATTATTGTATATCTGACTTATTTAATGCTGTTTACTATTAGGTGTGGTTTGAGGCCGCTGTGCAGGCCTTCTTCTCTCTAGGCCCGGCATGGGGAGGTGTTCTCACAATGGCCAGCTTTAGTGACTTTAAAAACAAGACTCTTAAGTAAGTACATCTGTCATTAAGGTCAGTATCTCCATAATAAATATCATTATACATTCATTTAAGGTTTTATGAGGGTATGCAACACAGTTCCGTTAGCGCATCTTGGTGGAGAATATGTTTGAACGAAACTGTGTTGCATACCCTCATGTTTGTTAAAAAGATGCAGTTCAAACCTGATATATACGTTCTATTACATTCACTTTCATTATTTGAAGTTAAAAAAAAATGGGAGGGTGTCTTCCCCCTTTTCATGGCTGGGGGTCTCCCCCAGGAGAATTTTGTTTTCTAGAACGCCGGAGACGCGTTCTCCCGTGTTCTGGCGTCAATTTCAATGGCCCTTTTAAAGCAAGAAAATATCATTTTCCCCTATTATTTTACAAATATTTTGATTATTTTGAGGTACGTAGGGATTGGTAATCATCTACGCAAATTCTGTTATGGAGTTCGGTAACATTATTACACGGAAAAGAACAATCTAAAAGCATGTGCATTTTGAGATGGTTGTTGTAAGAGTTTTTCTCTTCTTGTGACGTTTCTCCTCACGACTGTGACTCCGGTTGCGCAGGGTTATGAGACTAGTATCACAAGCTAGCACTAGGAATAGTTTAACATTATGTACATAAGAATCGATATACTGGTCAATGTAAAATATAAAGCCGTGGTTTATGACCATTCCTTCCCTTCATATGTATTTTTTATCAATAAAGGGGATACAAATCAAAGAAACTAGTTTTTTTTGCTACATAGGTTGTTACATGCCTGCAGTGTGCTGTTCTTTCAAGCACTTTTATTTAATTAAACAATGTGATTTCTTGTTGATCAGTTCACATAGAATAAATAACACAAATTTGAAAAAATAAAATAAAAAATCTGGTGTTTTTTGTTGGTGAGTCGGGGGATGACTTTACATAGTGAGGTCAGGGGTAATATAACGGTACATGTAGTACTGTTCATATTACTACACACTTGCTTTTATTGAACCATTACAACATTTGAGTTGGTAATGTTATCTAGAGAGAATGCTACACAAATGTAAATATTTACCAATAATCAACACCTATAACAAACTGCAAAGTCATCGAAGCATACTATAAAATATACCTATATTCTCCTTCAGAACACAAAGTCATCGAAGCATACTATAAAATATACACATATTCTCCTTCAGAATACAAAGTCATCGAAGCATACTACATGTATAAAATATACCTATATTCTCCTTCAGAATACAAAGTAATCGAAGCATACTATAAAATATACCTATATTCTCCTTCAGAATACAAAGTTATCGAAGCATACTATAAAATATACCTGTATTCTCCTTCAGAATACAAAGTCATCGAAGCATACTATAAAATATACCTATATTCTCCATCAGGATACAAAATGTCAACGAAATAGTATACCAAAACTTTAATAAAATTTAATGAAAAGCTTGAAAGAATAGATTATAAAATATTTACATTATGTATGCTTGGACCCATTGACGAAAATGACATTCATTTTTGCATAACACAGGTAACCTCATCATTGCGTATTGATACGCTAAAATGACGTAGCACATGGCGTACTTGCATTGGTTCACGTCCGCCGTGAAACAGCCTTCGATGTAGTTGTGTTATGCTAATATGAATTAGTATTAAACATGATTGACTTCATTTTAAAGCTTAAATAAGATGTGTTAAGTACGTATACATGATAATAATATTCCACATGTATAAATTCTACAAATTAAATTTGAAAAAGTAACTATATTTTGTTTCTTTTGTTGGCATGCTGCTGCTAGAACCACCAACTGAAGTTTTACATTTTCTCGCGAAAACAAGCTGTTCTATCTACTGCGTTGTCCCCATGTATAACTAGAAAATAATACCTGTTTTTTGTTTTATTAATGCTTGCATCAGAATATTCAAAGCGTTTAAAAATGTAAATAAAAGGTATGAAATAATTTGTTTCAACACTCATGAGGTCATAATAACATTGGCTTTCCTGACATATTTATCATGAATCGCGAGGAATATGTCGAGAAAACCAATGTTGTTATGACTTCTTAAAAATAAATTTCAACCCTTACGAGAAAGCAACGTTAGGGGATCAAAATATTTTATAAAAACACGAAATGTTCCATTATCTTACATGGTGTATTTGATAGTAGTTTCATGGACTAGACTACTATTCTATCAAAAAGAGTGTACTTTTTGTTTTTATATTACAGATTCATGTACGTATGTACATTTATATATATTTTTATAAAATTTAACAATACATGGATATTATAGACCATATATATGTATATATGTGTGTGTGTTTTGACGTCTTGTGATTCTAACTGCGTGCTTTTATGACGTCATAGATTTAACGAGTCATTGTGACGTCATTTCCTCTACTTCAGAGAAAGCAAGATGGACGTAACTTTAATCCATCGTTGATTTTCGCCTTGGCGTAGGCAAGGAGGCCAAAATGCTAGAACCTATAGTGACATTTGTTTTATCATTTATCATTATTTCCCTATGGAAATCAACTGTTTATTATATTTATTTACCGTTCACATGTAATGTGGATCTTAAATACCAATATGACAAACAAAAACAAGACCGGGGCCTGAAGTCATGAAACTGTCCTCATGATCAAGTATGGATTTGGTGCTCAATTCAGTTTTCTTGTAACTCAATTAAATCATGTAAAACAAGCCAAAGGTAAAATATAAACATTGAAAACAGTAAATGGATTTTATCCCTGTCCAAGAACAAGTGAACTATCTTTGTGTTTATTTACACTGGGATTTATTTCACAGTCAAACATTTATATTTTAAAACTTGAAAACTGCCGCATGTATTGTTCTAGTTGTCGATGGTATTACCTTAAATATTGTTGTTTTGTTAGATGTAAAGGGGGTTATGGCAACCGCTGAGTAAGATTGAATCTGTTCTAGGACATGTTCATCGGGATAGTAGATACAGGCAAGCCAGTGCACATTTCTCACTATCACCCTGCATTGTATTTCTTTCAGGTTTAGCACAGATTACATCAGCGAATAAATTCTTCACCTCCAACCTGCCGGAAAAAAAGACTCACTATTATCATCATTTTTTTTTATAAAATATTTGTCAATTATGCACGTGCATGGTGTTTCAACTTTTCACGACAAGCTTTATGTGTCTTTCCTATATTGATTACACGTCTTAGTTATGTAAAAAGTTTATTCTGGAGTACGATTGGAACCCTTACATCAAAAACATACCTTATAAACTTGTTTTATTTCAAGAATCTCGTGGAATATTCGTGAAATAATTACCACCGCTTTACCTTTCAATTTACTCATAATAACATCCTGTTACTACCTTGTAATTCAATCGGGTGTACAAAGATGTTTCCGTTACAATCGTATTGTCCAGAGGACATGTGTAGGTAAGCCTGTCTTCAGACCAATATGTTACGTTCGGTAACGTTAATTACGGACAGGAAGCAATAGCCTGTCTCTGCATCCGGGCTTCAAACTTGCACTGATGACTAAACTTGCAGCATTGGATTCAAGCATCGAGTTGCCTTTTCCGGTTTTTTCTTGTTAAACCGCAATTTACGGAAAGCTTCAGTTTACAGTTTTGAAAAATCCGTTTTTAGAAGGTGAACGAAAAAGATTTGTTAAACACTAGGGATGTTACTTGCCATACGTCACGTTACAGTGTGTGAGTATTGCTCCCACGATACTAAACAGAACAGGAAATGTTTTTGCGTTCTGTACGTTATTTGCAGCAATCTATTGCTCCAAAAATGTGTTGCACGCAGTCCAAGGTTCCACTAATCTACTATCGAAATCTCTCTTGCTAATATAACATTGTGTCATTTTATTATTGTGTGAACGAAGAACGCCGACGAAAACCCAGACAATTTTACACACTTTCAGCATTAACACAGTTCGCAAAAACGCATGCAAAGTTTATTATGAACAAACGCGCAAGGTATTCACTTCAAGTAAATCTCTTTGTCTCCCGAAGGTGTGTCTTTGGTACATTTTTAAAAATACAGTTCAGAACTTAATACATAAATTCGCTGTAGTACTCAGAAAGACTTGAACTTTAATTTCCATTGGGAAGTTGGTACTCAAAGTTTTTTTTAGACCATTCCGTGCTATGTTCAGGATGATTATATCTTTGCTTTTGTAAATTCAATTTTCACTGAAGATTCTATGTTATATTCCGGAGGTTATGTGATGGTGTTAACATTGAATGCTTTATAGGAGACTATGGTATATTTTCAGTGACACTGTGGTCGTGCTCGTGGTCGACATACTTACGGCATTCTTCTGCGGATTTGTTGTTTTCTCCATCGTCGGCTTCCTGGCAAGGGAAGCCAATCTGACCATTACTGAAGTGGCCGAATCAGGTATTGTATGCAAATTAAGGAGATATGCCACCCTTCTTTTTCAAAAATAGTTCCAAACTATAAGACATCAAAGAAATTTCAATTGTAGTTTTTGGGTTTCCTTAATTGATTGATGACACTTCCGAAATGTACACAAAGCTGAATCGATGACTCGAAGTTAATTCTGAAACATGCTTGATGATTATTTAAAATTTTGTTGAGGAAATAAATCTATCAGAATCCACATGGTTAATTGTATATTGTGTATATATGCATTGTTACGTACATCCTTTAATCAATAAATGTTTATTAACGTTTAAGATTCTGATTACTTTTCGTACGATATATTAGTAAAATCTGAATCTTAAAGCTACTGTATAAGGTCTACTGTTATAAGGCATTGACTGATGTTGCGTATGTTATTCAATTACGATTTTCAATTAAAGTAAAATGCAAGTTTTCGTCATTCAAATATGTGCTTTTCGGCAGCTGTACATAAGTAAAGTATTCTTTAATATACAAAACTCTTTTTCGCATTAATAATTAAGTCTCAAATTCATATATATAAATGTAAGAAACAAGAGATCCCATTATAGTTCAAACACCATTTCTGTAGACATCAATCAGCTATTACTTGACCATTTGATTTTTACTTAAGATGATTCATTTTGTTCAAAATTGTCCAGAAAATTGTCCATAATAATATAAGTTCTCCTTGTATAAACGACAGGTCCAGGGCTGGTATTTATGGCCTACCCAGAAGCCTTAGCGAGACTTCCGTTACCACAATTGTGGTCTGTATTGTTCTTCATCATGGTGTTTAACGTCGGACTGGATACAGAGGTAAATAGTAATATACAGAAGATGACTTTATGTACAGAGGTAAATAGTAATATACAGTAGATGACTTTATGTACAGAGGTAAATAGTAATATACAGTAGATGACTTTATTGATAGAGGTAAATAGTAATATACCGTAGATGACTTTATGTACAGAGGTAAATAGTAATATACAGTAGATGACTTTATGTACAGAGGTAAATAGTAATATACAGAAGATGACTTTATGTACAGAGGTAAATAGTAATATACAGTAGATGACTTTATGTACGGAGGTAAATAGTAAAATACTGTAGACTTTATTTACAGAGGTAAATAGTAATATACAGAAGATGACTTTATGTACAGAGGTAAATAGTAAAATACAGTAGATGACTTTATGTACAGAGGTAAATAGTAATATACAGTAGATGGCTTCATGTACAGAGGTACATAGTAATATACAGTAGATGACTTTATGTACAGAGGTAAATAGTAATACACAGTAGATGACTTTATGTACAGAGGTAAATAGTAATATACAGTAGATGACTTTATGTACAGAGGTAAATAATAATATACAGTAGATGACTTCATATACAGAGGTAAATAGTAATATACAGTAGATGACTTCATGTACAGAGGTATGTAGTAAAAGTTGACAACTATGTAATGCACTTGTGTCTAGCAACAAAACATGGTAGATACATCTTTGACACAATTGTATGAAATGACAAAACAAAGTTGATTACTTGTTTATTACATAGTAATATTCACATTAATACAACACAGACCGGAATTACAACAAACATGACGGCTGCTGAAATATCGCTGGGCAATGTGAGACTGGACAATGTAATTATAAATGTGTAAACAAATCGAAAAAATATATTAAAAAAAAAACTTTGATTAAAGCAAAAAAAAAAAAAATGTGCAATAGCGTACAAAATGCAACCGGTGAAAACAATTTTAGCACTCATAAAATTTATCAGAAATATCGTCTGTTACACTGCGCTGATCTAGCCATAACATAATCAAACGATCTTCTTACTTTCTGCTTGGATTATCATCTAGCGGGAATGTAATTAACAAATACTAACTTGGAATACATTGATGTTTTATCCAATTCATTGACACGAATGAAAGCTCATCCAAAATCGTACAATGTTAAAATGATCAAATTTTGAGACAAGGCATATCATATTTATGTCTAACTACAAAAACGAATCCTCACTCCGGTCATATAACCGTGTCAACATCATAAAAGAAAGCACTGAATGGCACACTCTCCTGTTAAACTCATCCTGAGTTACAATCAGCCGTTGCCCTACGCTCTGTCGCAAGGTCATACACTTCAAACGCTATCATGCGTCTATCAGCCACGGTTTCTTCAGTTTCAGATAAATAATATCCCTCATTGAGAGCAAGGTCTGATTACAGTGTTGACTGTATTTATCCGTGCGCGAAATGCGTTAAAACAATGTTAAATCTAACTTTCAGCTCAGCTTTTAACTGATAACTTAAATAACCCTACGGACATACATGTATACAAAAAGTGTATTGATTGTAAAATTTCAATATAACTTTTAAGTGGAAAACCCCCCAGAAAATTAATAAATGCCATACGAAAACAGTTTAATGCTCTCTTTTTTAAATAAACGAAAGATAACTTTGTGCTACAGAAAATGTCATTTGATCAAAAAATCACAATTCAATGTCATTTATTTTGTTGAACAAGTTTACTTACAACATACCCAACATCATGGCGGCTTCTACTACACTGTAAGATAAGCGGGACGATTTCGACTTTCCTATCTTGACAGTTTGCTTTTTTGATAGCAACACCCCTGCTTCCTCTACCTAAGGTGTTTCCATGACGCAGTTGCTTCGGTACTCTAGAGCTTGATCCGAATATCATAACGTCCATTCGTCATCATGATCTAACAGGGAAAAATGCTATTCCTTTGTGTGATATAAAGGTCGATTTTTTTTATCATGCTCACTGTAGTGTTTTGTGGTTTTGTTGTCACTACACGATTTCTTGATGCGATGGCATAACCTTATTTGGATGCGACTGAGATTTCCATGCCGAGTGCATTGATGAAGCAGAAGACGCTTACCCTTCCGGAACACGTGGTCTTATTTTCCCTTACTTCTCCATTTAAATCTGTACTGTGTTAATATGTTGTCCTAGTTATATCAATTATGAGTTGGAGTTATGGCGTTGTTGACACTTCAGTATCTTTTGTTGTTATTTTATAACCAGTTTGAACACACATGCAACATAATTAAAATTTATTAAATTTACAAAGTCAATTCCATTGTCTTTGTAACAGTGGGAAAAAAAACTCGCGTGACCAGAAGGTCAATGGAATCTATCAAATCTACATAATATTTGTTAACGATTGTCATAGTCATTAATGATTTACTTAACGTAAAGGTTACCGATAAGTGTTTTACCTTTGTCACTATTGTTAAACACATGCATTGGCTTTTCAAAAGAAAACTGCAATAGAAATCACACGTTGCAAAGTCTACACGTAACCAATGTTACCATAAACGAATTATAAATGAAATGCTTCAACCGCAAAATCTGATGAATATCTTTTTATCGGAAGTTATCCTTAGTAAGAAAACACTTATTTTTGGTTGCATTGTTTTCTATTATCTCTGAGTGGGACTCTTCTTTGCGATAATAACTTTATTGGTACGTTTATTGGTACCCTCTACCTTAAGAAAGATTTGAAGTGCGTTTAACAATTCTAATAACTTTTTGATATCTCATAGCAATTAATAAATAATTATACGATTTGTATCTATAGTTTGCTATGGTGGAGACAATAACAAGTGGACTAAAAGACATGTACCCGAGGAGTCTTGGAGACCGGAAACACAATGTACATGTACTTCTGGCCGCGTTTTCAGTTTACTTTGTCACAAGTATCATTCTTGCTACACAGGTATGTGTTATTCTTTCCCTTATAGCTCTGATCTATGTGTGTACTTATTAAGGACCCCTGTTCCATTACCCACTGCACTCAGTGTTTTTCGTATTACCAGGTAGCACAGTCAGGTAGAGCGATAACAAAACACAACTTTCTAAAGTCCAAGATTCGAATCCCAAACCAGCTCAGCTATTGTTTTTAGTCTTTGAGCAGTGTTGTTGATTTTTATTTTTTTAACTTCATTTTTCGCAAAATATGGTTTTCTTTTCAGAAATTATTTATTAAAACTATAGATAAATTATGTTGAAAAAAACCTGTTTCATATACGTAATTATCAAAGTTTTTGGCAGTTGTACGGGAATCCTTAATTGAAGTTTTACTTTGTGTTTATACTTTAACTGTTTCAATTGTTATAGTCGAACCTCAATAATCATGCAGTTAATACAAACGTTAATGTGAATCTGTGAGAGAACCCTCACCAGTACTATTTGTCACAAAGTATTGAATGCTTGAATTTTGACTATCCACATCTCGGGTTTTAATCATGAAAGGGTTTACTACAGTCGTTAAGTAAACATTCTGTGTTTTGACTTTTAATACAAATTTATAAAACATAAACACGTATTTATTTATTCGAGATGATTGCCTGAAACATAAGGCATCATTCTTTTTTTTTTTTTTTTTTTTTTTTTTACAAATATTTTATTCACCCAGCCATTTTTTTCATAAATATGTATATACATATACTGCTTCGAAGCATATATTAATACATATATATAAATATTTTGATAGGGGATGCCAGGGTTCGGGAGCCCTGGAGTCAACCCCTGAACAATATGGTATCCTCACGCAGGAGAGTTCTCATTCAACAAAGCGTCATTCTTAACAATGTATGATAACATGATCAGACGAGGGTTTGACTATGGGCGAAGTACATAAACATAAATGAGACACGATAGTCTAGTGGTAGGACGCCGGGATCGTGACCGAAGGGTTGCGGGTTCGCGTTACGGCACGGCACTGTGTTGGATCTTTGAGTAAGGTACTGTACTCTGCTTGCTCCAGTCTACTCAGCTTCAAATGAGTACGTTGCTGGGCAGTGCTAGAATTGTAGAACACTAGCTGTGAGTGCTGAAATGGAAGCACCGGCTGTATGCTCCCCAGGGAGTTGAGAAAGATATTGGCTGGTTGCAAAGGCCCCTTAACCACGGATAATAATTTGTGAACAAATGAAACGACCTACGAACTAGGTTGTGATAAAGCGGTATAAAATAATTTCGAATTATTATTATTATTATTATTATAAACATGAATGTGAACAGTATGCATTCGACACGAACCATGACTAATACATGTATATCGCTTTTTCTGTACTCTGCTCATTTACAATGATTAATATCATTATGTGAGCTTAAACGATGTCGAATGACAGATTCTGGAGATAACTGCATACAGATCTTAATAAAATGCGAAAGATGTATATAGGAAAACCAGCTTTATGTCAATGAGTATTTACTCTTACAAGGAAGTAATGATAACGTATAATAATCCGGCCGCTGACGGATGCTGATTTGTCTGTTTTCCAGGCTGGTGTCTACATCTTTCAGTTAATTGACTGGTACGCGTCTGTCTTTTGCATCTTCTTTTTTTCCCTCCTGGAGTGTATCGGAATAGGATGGATATATGGTAGGTGTTTGTTTCATTTGGGTTTATCCTTGATACGTCCGTGTTCATGAACCATTCTCATGCTCAATTTTCAATTCTGAGCTCATAACAATTTTCTCTTAAATCGCTGTAATAATACGATAAAAGTAAAGTATAGGCATTGAAAATGTTATTTCGCTTCTAGAGAGTTAACCTTTTTACTGTATCAAATTATGAGGTTGGTTATTCCTTCCACCTATTTTCTACTTATTATTTTTCTGCCCAAAATGATTTTACAAACAACGAACTACTGTACAGATGTATCAAATACCACTTTTCACAACACATTCAAATGCATTGAAGTGTAGTACTGTGCACTGCAAAACAGCAGAGTCCAGTTCACACTGCAGCAATAAAATATGGCACGATGTAACAACATGTAAAGACAGATGAAGACAATATCAGGAACCGAGGAAACGAACCCTTAGAAATAAAGAGATATAGATTTGTGAGCAACAAATAGGTGGTTGTTTCTTGCACAGTATTTGATTCCTATCATGAGGTCTTTCAGCGCAAACATGAATCCTTGTCTTCTGAAAACATAAGCATTTCCTATTTAACATGTAGTCCCCAGCACAACCTGAAAAATATGCGGGTTACCATTGTTTTAAGACACAGTTAAAAAGTCTTTTTCTTATTGTCGATATTTGATATTCATAGAAAACGACTTTTTCATATAAGCGAGGGACAAATATCGACTATTAATTTATTTGAATATCAATCGATTACACCAGGTTTCACTTTTCTGTTAGGTGCTGAACGATTCAGTCATGATGTCAAGATAATGACAGGTTATTCAGTCCCCGTGATAATCCGGATTTCGTGGTGTTTAGTCACACCTGTCATCATGATTGTAAGTAAACACCTGTTGCAAAAGCACACTTGAAGTAAATGTTTTTATCAATGCAAATATCTGTTAATCTATCCATTCTTTTATCAGACTTCAATAACTTTGCGAATAAATATTTATATGTATACGACTTATCGTTGAACACTTTTTCTGGAGAATTTAAGTTTGCTAGCGAAAATACATCTCGTGAGTTAACGCTGAACTAAATTACAGAATATCTAATTGTATACCATCATATAATGTAGACTATTTAACAATCGTGTATACCGTATAGAATAACCTTGCGTAAACTGTATTAATACCACCACAGTACCTAATTTCCCTTTATACAACATCGTATTGCCCTGTATACAATACATAAAAAATTGTCCTGTTTATATTTTGCCTTTATACAATATACGTTTACTGAGTATAGAGTATGTTACTTGTATTACCTGTATACAGTATAAAATTATTATGTATACAGTACATGATTACTATGTAATTACCCTGTTTCAGTATAAAATTACCCTGTTTACAATATTTGCTTTCTCTATACAGTATATAATTATTCTGTATACAGTATTTAATTACTCTGTATACATCATATAATTATCCTGTATACAGTATATATATATTACTTTGTATACAGTATATCATTCACTTGTATACAGTATANATTGCATATAGAGACGTTAGTATTGAAACCACTTATGTAGGTAGGTTTCTCGAATTATATAATAAATAGAATCTAACACTCGTGTACATGTTATATTGAATTTATTGAACTCGTATATTAATTTCATATGAAACTCGCCAAAGGCTCGTTTCATATGAAATTAATATACTCGTTCAATAAATTCAATATAACATGAACACTCGTGCTAGATCCTCTATATCCTGTATACAGTATATATATATTACTCTGTATACAGTACATAATTACCCTGTATACAATATTTGCTTTCTCTATACAGTATAAAATTAACCTGTATACAGTATATAATTAATTTGTATACAGTATATAATTCACCTGTATACAGTATATAATTATCCTGTATACAGTACATAATTACTTTGTATACAGTATATAATTAACCTGTATACAGTATATATGTACGTATAATATATTTACCCTATATACAGTTTTTGATTTCTCTATACAGTATTTAATTACCCTGTATACAGTATTTGATTTCTCTATACAGTATATAATTACCCTGTATCACTTTATGATTACTCTTGCTAAGAAGGATATTTGAGAGACATTAATACATTTTTTTCTATGATAGGTTCTGATCATAGTGAGCTTCATGAAATACGAGGAGCCGACATACAAAGGTTATGTGTACCCGTCGTATACCAGTATACTAGGTACCTTCATCTGTCTGGCTGCTGTAATCCCAATACCTGTCATCACGTGTCTCGACATTATCAGAACACCTGGCTCCCTAAAACAGGTAAAGTACAATTAACCACCTTGAATCTTGTCACCTTCATACCGGTACGTAATAAATTCTATCATCCCTAACCCTGATATCTCGCAATGAACAAGCACAATAATAACCACCGCGAAGCGCCACCCGTAGTCAGGTAAAATATTATTCCGAACACTATGGAAGCAGGAACGGGTCACAGCGAAAAAAAAGCATGTCATAGTAACGACTTACTTTTTTTGTAATAAATTGTACATGTCATTATTACGAATAGCTTTGTCATTATATTACTGTACAAGATCGTAAGTCGTTATTATGGCTATTGTTTTCGGTAACACATACCGGCTTCCGTGAAGCACTAACAACAACATGCAAGTAAAATACCAAGAAACACCCCAAGGTCTGTAACTATATCACGTATAAAGCAGCCATCCTGAACCCCGGTTTCCTCAAACAGGTAAAAAATTTAACCGCCATAATTTACATACCATTTTGTACTACACAACAATACTTTTCTGCCATTATATCTCAACAGTCCCTTCCCGTGGTAATTGTCAACGACAACACTTACCTGTATTTGAATAGATTAGTATCACTAGGTCCTATTGCTTTTACAGAGAATAAAAATATTGCTGCAGCCACCAGCAGCCTGGGGTCCAAAAGATGAGAAGGCGAGACAAACCTACAAGATGTTCGAATACTGCGGTAGCGTGTATCAGAACATTAAGACAAATATGTTTGGATCGCGATGATTATATTTTGAGTTTAACGACACATTCTTTATAATCATTAGTTTTGGATCCAGGATAGATAAAAAAGATGTGTACTTTGCTTAAGTCTTGCTTTTCGTTAACTTTTTATGCGATTTGATGAACCAAAACCCGTTTGAGAATAGCATTTATCATAACACTAAGACAAATATATTTGGATCGCGATGATTACATAATTTGAGTTTAACGATACATTGTTTATGATCATCAGTTTTTCATCTAGAGTGTGTACTCTGCTTTAGCCTTGCTAATAAATAACTTTGAATCGACTCTTATCAGCCAAATCCATTTAAGAATAATTTGTACAACATATTTGAAAAACATATCCTTACCATAATACTCGTAAATAAATAACATTTTATATATTATACTTGTTCATTTTTAACAAATAAGTTCTTTTTCTTATTGCTTAATAAAAACAACTGAGGTTATTCTATAAGACGTTGGAGTTTATTATAAAAGTGTAAACAAAGTTATAAGCTGTAACATAGCTAAAGTAAAAAACAAATGAATGTTGGAGTGGGAACAAATATGTGATGCCAACTCGAAATCGATCAAACATGGACAAATATCAATAAAGGAAATATTTAAATGGACGTCATTGAAGTAAAAACCCAGTAGAATAAGACCTGTTGTTTAGGTGTTCCATCAACGACGTTCGCTGGCAAATGTAGGGCAAATGTCACGTCCTCAACTTTAAGGTACCTATTTCAGATGTATTGTTCTTGATGCACCCATGGAAACAGTCTGACATATATAATATTGTTTCTTTCATTATATTAAGATTCCCCAGTTTTGTCCATTACTTCATTTATTTTGTTTATTTTACCTTCACTTTTTCCATTAAAGTGTCAATATATTGACAACTTTCTTGCCGGTAAAAGAATTGTATTTACATTTGCATGGCATTGTCAATAGCCTCTTTGAAAGCTGTGTCGTTGATGGGACTTTAATTACCATGCAGCACAAGACACAATTCATGGCGTATTAATACAACACAGACCGGAACTACAACAAACATGACGGCTGCTGAAATATCGCTGGGCAGTGTGAGACTTGACAATGTAATTGTAAATGTGTAAACAAATCGAGAAAATATTGAAAAAAGAACTTTGATTAAAGCAAAAAAAACAAAGATCTGCAAGAGCGAGACTTGACAATGTCATTGTAAATTTATGTGCAAATGAAAAAAGAAAAGAAAAATACTTTTACTACAACAACAACAAGACCATGGTCTGCAATATCGTACAAAATGCTCATCGGTTGAAATCACCAATGGAAACAATTTTAACGCTGACATGCAATTTATCAGAAATGTCGTCTGTTACACTGCACTGATCAAGGGGTTCGTTACAAATGTCTGAAATACACATATTCTATAAACCTACTGACACATATGTTACAGACCTACTGGTATGAGTCACAGCACACATAAACATTTCAGACATTTGTAACGAACACCTGTGCTCCGTCGCAAGATCACTCACTTCAAACGCTATCAGTTTCACGCGTCTCGCAGTCACGGTTTCCTCAGTTTCTGACGACATGTCAAATAACGAGGCTGTTATAGAATCTACAGACTGTAGTCAGATTCCCATAAGACCAGGGTCTGCAATATCGTATAAAATGCTCATCGGTTGAAATCACCAATGGAAACAATTTTAACGCTGACATGCAATTTATCAGAAATGTCGTCTGTTACACTGCACTGATCAAGGGGTTCGTTACAAATGTCTGAAATACACATATTCTATAAACCTACTGACACATATGTTACAGACCTACTGGTATGAGTCACAGCACACATAAACATTTCAGACATTTGTAACGAACACCTGTGCTCCGTCGCAAGATCACTCACTTCAAACGCGTCTCGCAGTCACGGTTTCCTCAGTTTCTGACGACATGTCAAATAACGAGGCTGTTATAGAATCTACAGACTGTAGTCAGATTCCCATACAATCTACAAATAAATTCACGTCTGGATTGTTCACTAAATGAGCAAAGAGAAAAGTTCGAGTTAACTTCCAAAAATAACTACCTCGTGGAGGGCAAGGTCGGATTTACGGATTTCACTGTGTTTATCCGTGCGCGAAATTTGTTCTGGGGAAAAATTGAAACAATTTCAAATCTAACTTTCAGCTCAGAGTTCTATTGATAAACTCAAATCACCCTATAGACATATCATACGCAATTGTATTGATACTGATTTGTGGAATAAAATTGAAGTGTTTGTTAAAATTTCAAAGTACTACCTTGTTTGCCAATCAGCACACGACAACACGCTGTTCCAACTATTGAACGGATTTGTGTGGACTGTTAATTAGGCGGGAATTTTAAATTTTAAAGATAAATTATAAGTTAAAAAAGAACATAAGAGGCAGAGAAAACGTAAATATAAGTAGCGCGCATTATGTTGTTTGCTTTCAAAGCTGTGGCATTCAAATAGATCATAAATACCATACAAAATCAGTTCAATGCTTAATTCAACTCAAAATCACTGCTTTTCACAACAGTATGGTAATCCTCAAAAGAATATTAAATAATTCTTTATATTTATGTGCATTGACACACTTCCCCATTGAAATTAATTGTTATTTGATAATGTTCTTTGGTAAATACAGGAAACACAAAGGTCAGTATTTCATCAGATCGATCATTGTTCCGAATGTATAGCAGAGGCAATGTTTGCGTTTAGCAAGTTTAAGGGAGACATCTCAACTTATTGACTATTGATAATTAACAATTATTTGTTTTTATTGACGTTTCACAGAATATGCTAAAATAATATCTGGGACCGCATATGTATTGGTTTCTTTGAAATTATGTTTATCTTCACTGTCATCATAAGGATTAAAAACTTTCGTGAAGTTAATTTGTTAATCAACATTTACAATGAGAGCAAAGGTTGTCTGTTTGCTTAAGTTTTGCGGATGACATCCATTCAGGTTTTCTTATTAGGTCACACATTAAGATAAATAGGATAGAAACACATTCATTCTTTCAATTTGTAAAGCAGTATTTTGTTTTTGCAAAATTGTAAATACGATTTGACATCAGATCCTGTAATACGTCATTCTACCTTCAGATACATTATATGTAACACACAGAGGTGAAGGTAAATGCGTCATTAAGAGAACCCCCTCCCCTTGAAATACACATAAATCTACACAACATTAATCCGATATCATCATTTCCCGAGTGAATTATTATCTTGTAACTTTGTCTTGGAGGGAAGATTGCCCGCGACGATGGCTAGGAGCACCGTATACCTTGCCAGACAACCCTTTGAAAGAACGGTTCTCGAAGGAGAAGAACATACATTAGTACATCACATGACTGTCAACCGTGCATAATCTACATGAATCCGGCCAGTGAACCCTTTGTTACTGAAAAGCATTATGTAGACATCAATTTCGGCCAAGAAACCGTTCAATTCAAATTTTCACAGCATATTTGCCAAATTCAAATTATGTCGCCTGGGTCTTTTTAACACTTTTTTTTTTGTTCTGCAAACGACTCCGAATTTCCCGTTCCTATCATAGTCGTGACATAGAACAATACTGAAATGGAGGTAGATTGGAAGTAGAATTTCCAGCGCTTTCCACTTCAAAGACGACAACTCTCGGCGTCCCACTGCCGCTTAGAATATAGTACCTGTCGCCAAGTACAAACAAAGAAGAACATATACGAAATAAAGCAAATGGAGTTTTCGGGCAGTTATTTTTTCTAAAACTTTATCATGTGATTCCCTAATGTATGTAAAACATATGCCAAAACATTTACATCAATAATTATAACAATGAACTTTTTATATGCGATGTGAACAAAGTTGTCTCGTCGCTTCGATGAGTTTGCATCACAAATTGTAAGCATTATCTCTTTCTAGTTGCTCTAATAGTCCGAGTCTGACACTATAGCACACCTAAAGTTAAAACAAAAATGGAACATATCTTGTGTAATTTTTCAAAGGAAATGGTGTCGATTGGCGCATTAGGATTGCGGCCGAAGCGTCGCTATATGAAAGAGAGTTGCACTCTCTAAAATGTAAAATACGCCCTTTAGGGATTAAAAAAGGTAAAAACGATCTTTTTGATCAATTTCTATTTTCATTTTAATAATTTTCAAACGGTTTCCTTTTCAAATAGCTGGTCTCTGTAGAGTTCATCACGCGCAGTTTCGTGGCTCACATACCATCTGATAATTGAGGAACGAAGTTGCAGCATTTATGTAAACAAAATGACGTAAATCAACTAAATAGATATGTTCTGCCAAAACACAACTTTTGAAAATAAAGAAACATTTAATCATTGGTTGAACAACCTTTAAACAATCTGAACAAGACATAGATCAAGTATTATACAAAGAGATTTCCAAGAATGGTACATNGGGGGGGGAGGGGCTTGGGTTCAGAAGACCAGTTATACTATTTTGTTAAAAACTATTGGGAAACAACTACAACTACATCAGAATATAAAGCTTTACAACATGTTTATTATTTATCCAACCTGTGTTTATTATGCATAAATTAAACTATTTGTTGGGATTGAATTTCCAAACTCATCAGTGGATGGCCTTGTGCACGTGTGACACAATGGACTTGTTGGCCTGTATATGTAGGATGCGGAAATTTGATCCTATCAATTGTCATACTATTTACATGTAAGATCATGGAGCACGGCTGTATTGATGTGAAAAAAATATCTAACAAGGTTAAACTACACAAAGAAGCATGTCCAGATTAAACACACGAGGGGGGGGGGGGGGGACTAAAAGACATCACATCACTTATTCTACCCAAACTTAAATCCTCCGCACATTTCTCACCACCGAAACACTATCAATAGAATTGAATCCTGCAATTGTATTAATTATTAATCAGGACACAACACCAACACTTACATGTCAATATCACAACAATTATTTTATAGGAATCAAATGAACCACGTTTTTGTTATTACAAACGCCCAACAATCAACCTGTTTGAAAGTAGCAATTTACTTCATAACTTACAACCAACATCTGTGTATCCAGATCAAGTTAAACACATCTCGTCACATGTTTCAAAGACCTAAGACAAAAGCAGGACCACTTGAGGTTTGGTCTAAGCTTGTCCTATAAAACATTTCCACAGTGCAAACTGAACTACTTTTGGAGGACACACTAAATTTGCACACAGACTTTTTATCATGACACGCACAAACATCAATAGTAGTGGAAATGATCCATTTAGACAAAACACCACTCAATTCAGACTGTAAAGGTGTGGATATTATTTAATTTTCCGCATTGAGTAGATTCACACGCGATTATATATTTATAGATGACATAGGTTATTTTTTTGAATATATATATATATATATTTCAGAACGATTTCAAACGCAAAACATTTTAGTTGCACAACGGGTTTTAGAAAAGTCACAATGCGAACAGTATCACACGCGAACATTTTCCTTTTTTACAATACACTATGGGACCTTATCCTCATATACAAAAATGACCTACCAAAAGAAATCAAACTCCACACCCTCACACTTTTAGCAGTCTTACTAAACAATACAAAAGATGCACGTAAACTACAACAGGCATTAGAAATAACAAAGGAATGGGATACTGGGTTGTCTCCCCTCCCTCTTCACCGACAAATGCCATGTCATATTAACTACAACAAAAGATGCATGGAAATAAAATGTCACATATAAACTACTTCCCATACATAAGGTAGATTTGTTTTAACCTGAAACAAACTAGATACATAACCGCGTACAATCGATTTGCATGACATATTTGAGGGGTTTAGAGAAAGTAAGTGAACGTAACCACTTGAATGTCGAAGATCAATACAAACAGGCGGACTGACCCCGTATCATTATACAGAAATCATACTTTGTCACGTCACAAATAGCAAACTTATCTTTGATAATTATACATAGCATATCTTTCTTCTCTCACACAATTGCACCATAAACTTCCAACGGTACATATTAGCAAACAATATTTTGAATAAATCAAACTGAAGTTCACACCATGACGAGCTAGATTTTAACCTTTGATGAGATATAACCAAGGAACGCGCTCATTAGTTGAGTGACCTCAAGCGTGGACAGTGACTGGGTGGTTGCCCACCCGCCAGCTACATATGGTAGCAGCGTCATAGCCCCAGTGTATCCTCTTAAGACCAGACCTATTTACGCTATAAGTATGTAACAGGAAAGAGAATAGTGTGGTTCCGCCGATGATCGAACCCTCGATCTCCAGGTTACTAGTCGGACGCTCTACAACTGAGTTAAAGGGAAATTCCCTCCAGCTCGAAGCTAGAAGGCAACCTTAATCCTATGTACAATTAAAATCTGCCACAAGTATAATGACTTTATTGCAATAATGGATATTGAATTACAATTGCATCCAGTATTAGGTCAGGAGACGGATATTTGTGGTGGATGTAGGGGCCTGCATATACCTTCTTTTTGATGAAATATGTTTAAACTTTTGAATAACCAATAGTCCTTGGGTGGTCAGGTGGCACAGTGGATAACGCAATTGCCTTTCAACAAGCAAAGCGGCTGGGGTTTGATTCCTCGATTCCTGGGGGTTTTTCCGGGTTCTCCAGTTTCCTTCCACATCAAGACACTCCAACCCCCACCCCACGCGATAACACCCCTGGCGGACAAGAATGATTAATATAATTTGGATAACTTGTGTCATAATTGTTGTAAAAATGAATAAAGTTTACACCGGTGAAGCATGGTATTGTAAAGCATGGTGAAATGAACCGCGGTTCATAATACCATTATGGTAAAATGAACCGCCCCATGGTGAAATGAAGGCTCGCATCATTTTCTATTCTGACAAACTTTTTCCATTCGTTTCTTTTAAGTTTACATCAGTTTGATGTCCTGAATATGAAAATCACAAACATTAAGTATAGGGTAGAAAAGTTAAAGATGGAGCAGTGGCGCTTTACTTTACCATAATGGTGAAATGATTTTTTTTTCTATTTGACTATTTTAAACTAAATCTGTTTTAGTTTACATCAGTTTGATGTCTTAAATTTATAATGGAAGCAGACAAAATTCCACCGCTGGTTTACTACGTTACATATGGTTTAATGATTTGGGACCTCCTTCAATATGTGTGCAATATCAAGGATTTGAGAAAATATAATGAACCAAACTGTGTGAACATATCTCTTTAAACATGCCTTTCTGAATGTCCTCGGTGACGACTGAAGTGCTTAATAAGCATTATTTCTGATTGTCAGGTGCATTAGAGACATGTGTCAATAACCATTATTTGCGATTGTACCACAGTGACATAGTAATTAATCCAAAACATTCTATGATAAGTCATGAGATCCACATCTGAAAGTAATTAATTTAATGAGTCATGTATTTGCTTTTGTTTGTCACATCATTATATAGGCCACATCTTGTTCAGTCCTTTATTTTGAAGTTAACATTCCCAAAACAATATTTGACAGCCATAAGTTTGTAGCCTCCTTTGCTTGTGTCCTCTCCAAAGTCTTAGCACACTGTTAAACTAAGATTTTTGAGGTATATGACTCGCCCTCATAAGCAAGCATTCATGTATCTTGTTTTCAAGACCCAGTCTATTTTGTAAGGATGTTGAGGTTTGATTATGGATTGAAAATGGTTGTTCACAACTGTTGTAAAAACAGCAAGTGCAAGTCCCAAATGAAACAGACATAAGCCCCAATAAGTTACTCATGGATGCCCTAGGGTAATGTTCACCTAATGTTTCTTTCTGCAGGAGTGCACAATTTCCGCTTATCAAAGATGGAGAGGTATTTTGAACTTGTTTCCCTTCATCTTTCCATACAAGTGTTATCTTGTCTGTAGTGTTATGTGCTGATACAACAGGTCCAGGTCTTCATTACCACAGTTGGAGAGATCCTCAGGCTGATTGGATGCGGACAGGAAATATCTTAATACCTAAAAAAGAAAATACAAACAATGTGTTGATAAAAAATGATCGGAGGAGTTTTGGTATTCAAGGCTTAAGGAGATACTAAGGTAGTCCGATAGTCTGGGATTAGTGACATTTCAAGCTGGAGTAGTGATTCTAAAAACTGCTAGCCTGATTGAATAATTAAATTTTGTATAACTTACCATGTTAATAATATTGGGTAAGTGAAATTTACACCTGGACTATTAGTAAAATTGGAAACTACTAGCCCGACTGACTAATGGTTTTGAAAATAATTTCTAGCCCCGAATTTCTAAAACTGTTGCCAGAATGGCAGACTTATATCCCCTGCCTGTGTGAAGAATTGTTGGAAAAGATCTTTCGAAAACAATTTTAAATGAAGTGGCATAGGACCATAAATAATGGAGGTAACTCCAACTTATAGGCATTTTTTACATCCCCTTGGTATAAGGGTTCTGCAAACTGAATTTGACTAAAATTGGTGCTATACCTTAAGGAGTGGGCAGACTTTTTATAAACAAGGGGCATAACCATATGAAAAGGGGAGGTTAATAGAATTTTACACTATATACAAATTCCAATTGGAAGAGTTCTGTGTAGCCAGATTCATTCATATTGATGCAGTACTTTGGAAGGCGTAGTGTTAACAAGGTTTTAAGATGAAAGGGCATAACACCCATGAGAAAATAGCCCAATCCAAATATTGATAGCAGATGCACAACTAAAGATCGTGTTGACTACATCTGTAACATTTCATCAAATTTAGCTAAACATAGCAGGATGGGTTGTACAGCAATGAGTGTGTACATATAAAATATGAGACTCCTTCTTGAGAAACGGCAATAACAAGAACTGTTTAAGGATGGATAGTCAAAATTGGTAGTTAATGCCAGCTATATGACATAGAACATTATCAATACAAAGGGTGTTGTAAATAAGGCTAAAAAAGGGATTTTTCAAATAATTGCAATTGTTTTGACAAAGATTTGATTTCAAAAATAATGAAGAAACATCTGCAATAAATAATGACCATGCATGTATTGACCTCATAAAAGCTGTAATTGTTTAATATTGCAGTTGGGCTTGTCAATGCCACAGGAAAATGAAGAAAAAAAATACTGAACAAAATAACACCAAACCAGAATCTAGTAAAATATGTCAATGAAAGACAGTCTGTAGGTCACATGAACTTATGAGGTAGTGAGGTTATATCGCAAATTACATCATTGGATGATGGACCATTAAAAGCGGTCTAAATGCGTATCCTCAGCAGAAAGTTATGACAGTAATTATCAAAGTTTCGGGACTTATACACTAAATCAAATAGTGGTATAAAATAATGACAAAATATAACTATGAAAAAAACCAGAAAAAATTACACTGATTTTCATAGAAAGTACATGTATAACAACATATATACTTTTCACAATGCAAATTTGCACTCAGAAATCTAACTTGATGAAGATATCCATTTCAAACAAACACAAATGGAGAAGTTGAATTATTTATTACATTTATGCAGCATTTTCGGTACTCAAAGCTCATTTTGAGTTAATTACACAGATCAATTTGTCAAATCCAATCTGTTAGTCATACATTTTTTGAAACTTTCATTTTTCAGCCCTAACATTTAACAATGGTGTCACATCATGCTATAATAATTCCTGCTTAGCACTAAGCTAGAAGGTCTGACTCCCAACCCCCTGTAAAAGCACAGGGATTGTAAATAATATACTGACATTAGTCTCTAGTACATACAAAAAAAGCATTGAATTCATTAAGAATAAAATTAGACTCCAATTTCATGGAGAATCACATTCAAACTAATGTAGAAGGACGAGGAATAGTGATACAGATAGTGCCGTCACTGGGGCTGGAACCCGCGACCCTTGGCTCTTCAGCCCAATGCTCTACCGCTGAGCTAAATGGAATTCCCTACAACTGGCGCTTGTAAGGCGACATAATAATTCACATCTTTTACACTAAGGGAAGATAATACTAGTAGATAATGCAAAGTTCTAGAAATTAGGGCTAAGCACCAATGAAAAGGCATTTATAATTGAATCTGAACTTAACGCAAAGTATAAAAAAATAAAATTGATTTCATACAAAAGTTAAAGCAACTTCAGAGTTACTACTTTTGAATCATATCTATAATACATGTAATACAGACCTATATACACTTGTGCCATGCCCCTGGGGTAGTGCCTTTTTCATACTATGTACTTCTGTCAACATAATAGAAGCAGAAATTGTATTCGGGTCCTTATGGTTTTGTGAATAATTGTTTCGCACAAAATTCATTCGGAGCTAAAAATGGACCCCCTCCACCTTTCAAAATTCCTTGATCAATCGCTAAATTATGTCATAGGTGAGAAGTTAAAACTTTATGACAATGGTACAGTTGATATCGATTATCTACATGTACTTTATAAAACAATGTGTAAAGCTCATCGCCGTTTTACTTACAGTCTGTAGGCCTAATGTAGCTGTACTGTAGCCCAGTCGATTCACTGAACATGCTGGCTGGTCCAAGTGCTCTTCATGATCACTATGCAAATTATAAAAGCGGATGGACGGTTCAGTCCTATTCATCATTATTCAATCAAGCATATGTAGACCTAACAAATTGTTTACAAATGAAGCGTTTTAGGATCGAGATTGTTTTTTCGTTTCCCCAACCCGTCCAATCAAACACGCCGTTACAGCAAGTTGCCGTTGAGGTCAAACGTGCTACCCCAGAATGCAAATTAACGAATAAATATATTTATATTGCAGACATATTTTTTTTTATTGAATACAAGTATATATTTTATTGCACATACACATTTTTTTATTGAACATAAATACTTTTTTATTGTATATATATTTTTTCATTGAACATATATTTCTGTTATTGCATTTACATTTACAATTATTGAATACAAATATAAAATTTCGAACATAAATATAAAATTATTGAAAATTGCAACGTTTGACACGCCATAGTGGGGGCAACCTAGCTTTTCATGTGATGCAGTATAACCCTTGGATGCGCTCACTTATTAGCAACGTTTCACCAACTATCCTCACTGACCCAACCGGAGAAGTCATCATAAGCTTGATGGAGATTGCTAAAAAAGAATAAAAAGGCAGCATTAAGGGTTTTTTCTTCATAAATTGTGGTATTTCGTGTTGTCAAAGTTTCTCTTTAAAGAAAAGTAATATATGTTTACACTTTGATTAATATAACGTTTTATTCCATAAAATCATATATCTTTACGTCTCGGGAATGATGAAGTGAGGTTGACGATAACGTTTATAACAATGACTGAACGCGACTTTAATAGCACTCTAAGTCCAGGCACAAACACTAGTTATCGCATTAGACACGGAGAGTCGGTAGTCTAGTGGTGGGACGCCGGGCTCGTTACCGAAGGGTTGCGGGTTCGAGTCATGTCACGGCACAGCACTGTGTTGTATCCTTGAGCAAGATACTTTACTCCGCTTGTTCCAGTCTAATCAGCTGTAAATGAGGACGTGGTTGGGTAGTGCTAGAATTATTGAATGCTAGCTGTGAGCGCCGAAATGGCAGCACTGGCTGTATGCTCCCCAGGGAGTTGAGAAAGATATTGGCTGGTTACAAAGGCCCTATTACCACGGATATTAATTTGTGAACCGCTATGAGACGACCTACGAACTAGGTTGTGATAGAACCTCGAATAATTGTTATTATTATTAGTTGTAGTAGTAGTATTCAAGTTCATGTTGAGTACCTTCGTCGACAACGACAGCTGAAAACAAAAATCGTATACAGCAGAACCTGTATATTATGTCCCACGTTCCATCTGTCATCTCACTTACGGCTGTCTTGCTGTATGCGTTGAAATATACCAGGACTCCAAGTATAATTCTACCCGGAATGTGCATCAAAGGCCTAAAATGAAATTTTCTTTGACAAAAGAGAAATTTATTAAAAAATAAACGTTGAAATCTACAAAGACTAAACATAGAAATATGCAAAGACTATAATAAACTATATATAAGGATTCAAAATGAAATTTATGAAAATGAAATATAGAATTACTTGGAAATGAACAAAGAAAATATAAGGATTTCATATAGAAAAGGAGTAGGACTGATTATCTAATGAAGTAGGAGTAGATATAAGAAAAAAGTAAGACTAAACATTGAAACATAAAAGGACAAAATACTGATATAAAACAGGACTTAATATAGCAATACATTAAGATGAAGTATAAACACATATTAGGACAAAATATAAAAAAATATATGTGAACTACACAAAGAAACTATCTGACATCGAAAACTTCTAGATCCAGGACTAAACACTTCACATAAGATCCCATCCCCATACAATGGCACTGTCCGTACGTATACACTGTATTTATTACCACCGCCCCCTTACGCCCACTTCCTTTTTGGGGCTAGAAATGGATGAAGAGAGTCCATGGAGCAAAACAGTCGTTGACATGGTTACCCACGTTCCTTTAACTGGCGGCTGTTTCGAAGATGATTATGCGTGGTTAATTGGTGTAACGCATAACACCGAGGAGGTGAACGACAACAGACAGGTCACTGAAATAGATCTATATACGTGCCTATCAATAACGGGAGAAGAGGCGATGGGGACAGCTCTGTGGAACAACACATCACTCTAACCTATACGCACTTCTCTAATGCAAATTGGACGTCAATACCTCTTAGAAAGTGAATGTGAAATACAGAAGGGACAATTCCAGACACGCATTTCCCCCTTAAAATAGCATGTTCATTTTACGCGTATATACTGGACGCATATTTACTCGTATTTCAGGAACTCGGTTAGGAAACAGTCGATGTTGTAATATCATTATAAGGTAACCTTTTGGTGCATTCTTTCATATAAACCGGATGCGTAAAGAAATCAATAATCTGAACAGCCGATATTTTTTATGTGAATGGTAACACCAAATATATCACCATCGGGCACCTCAAAGTCGATAGACCAACACAGGTTACCAAGGATACATCAAAACGAGAGAAAAAAACACAGAATACCAAGGAGACAACAAAACAAAACAAAAGCTAACATGGGTTTCCTAGGAGACTTATAAAAAACAAAAAAAACAAAAAAGGGAACCATTGAAATATCAAAACAAAACAAAAGTCAACACTCCGTAGCAAGGAGACATCAAAATAAAAAAGCAAACACAAGAAATATCGGAGACAACAAACAAATGAAAAAAAACCAATACATGAACCTTGGAGACATCAAAACAAGAGACAAACTACAGATGTAACACAGGTCACCAAAGAGACATTAAAGTAACAAGGAAGGTAATACAGGGTACCAATGAAAAATCAAAACGAATGGGAAAACTGCTTTACGCACCGGGTAAAAACATCAAAACAAAAGAAAAAAATAACACATGGTATCAAGAAGAAATCAAAACAAATGGGATAACAACACAACAATCAATAGTTTGTGCGATGTGTCAATTTCATTAATTACACCTGGAACTACCTATTCATTATATGGTGTTACTTATACTCGCTGTCAGGATGAATGGGTCCTCTATTATGAAATACGATAAAGACGAAAGTCAACTGCGTCGAACATATCCTGGCACAATGTACACAATGTACTCCACCAGGAATATGTATGTAACATATGTCGCTTACTATACCCACCCATTTGTGACCATTATCCTAATATAATCTATGCATAATAATTACCATGGAAACAATGCCTTCGTAAACAAGCGTGACTCGATAGTTTGATTGAGTGATAACAAACCTGGTCAATATCATCCCGCCAAATCCCTCGCGATATGTGTCAGCTAATTGATGAATGGGTGGTCATAGAGATGACGTCGAGCAAAAGGCCTTGCCGAGAATCTTGACTGGGAAATCTGTTTCGTTAACGACCTTGGGAGGAAAAGAGCATCCCCAGGCTACCATCATTCACTCGTACACACTGATTCAATGAACTAAAGCCACTTCTTTTCGAGCAGTTTATAAGTGTTAATAACAAATATTGCCCAGATGTAAACAAGGATTTATAATGCTAGCTATTCAATTCCATGTGTGTAGTTAGATTGATAGGTAGGACTTAACTCCATCACGTCCCCAATCTGTCTATGCCCTGTTAAGTATTCTATCACAAGGACAAAAAAGAGGCCGTGTAATCAATTTCTCAAGTAAACACTGTCAATATAAATCAAATGGTTGATATAATGCAATACAGCATCAGTAGTAAACAGCTTTGACATATAATGATGCACATACGGACTTAAGACTCATAGGCAAATGATGTGTATCTCTGTCCCACTTCTTTAGATTGCAAAATATTTGAAATATTTAACTCGCTTTTCATGTTGACGCCTTTCGTAAATATTTATGTGAATCACTAGTAAATCTGATGCAGATCGGTTTGAAAAATATCACAGTGTCATCAATATAAAGAGAAACAACATGATCACTAAATACAGATAGACACCAACAGCATCAACACACATTGACAGACTATACAACTTCATGGCATACAGATAGACAACAACAGCATCAACACACATTGACAGACTATACAACTTAATGGCATACAGATAGACACCAACAGCATCAACACACATTGACAGACTATATAACTAAATGGCATACAGATAGACTCCAACAGCATCAACACACATTGACAGACTATATAACTAAATGGCATACAGATAGATACCAGCAGCATCAACAAACATTGACAGACTATATAACTTAATGGCATACAGATAGATACCAGCAGCATCAACAACCATTGACAGACTATACAACTCAATGGCATACAGATAGACACCAACAGTATCAACACACATTGGCAGACTATATAACCTAATGGCATACAGATAGACATCAACACCATCAACACATATTGACAGACTATACAACTTAAAGGCATTCAGATAGATACCAACAGCATCAACACACATTGACAGACTATATAACTAAATGGCATACAGATAGATACCAGCAGCATCAACAAACATTGACAGACTATATAACTTAATGGCATACAGATAGACATCAACACCATCAACACATATTGACAGACTATACAACTTAATGGCATTCAGATAGATACCAACAGCATCAACACACATTGACAGACTATATAACATAATGGCAACATCCAATGACATGCAATGATAAAATATACCACAATGACATCATGAAATGATAAAATAAACCACAATGACAACGAACGGCGATAAAATATACCACAATGACAGACTATATAACTACATGGCATACAGATAGATACCAGCAGAATCAACAAACATTGACAGACTATACAACTAAATGGCATACAGATAAACATCAACAGCATCAACACACAGTGACAGACTATATAACTACATGGCATACAGATAGATACCAACAGCATCAACACACAGTGACAGACTATATAACATAATGGCAACATCCAATGACATGCAATGATAAAATATACCACAATGACATCATGAAATGATAAAATAAACCACAATGACAACGAACGGCGATAAAATATACCACAATGACATCATGCAATGATAAAATATACCACAATGACAACATGCAATGATAAAATATACCACAATGACATCATGAAATGATAAAATATACCACAATGACATCATACTATGATAAAATATACCTCAGTGACATCATACAATGATAAAATATACCACAATGACAACATACAATGATAAAAAATACCACAATGACATCATGAAATGATAAAATAAACCATAATGACAACAAACGGTGATAAAATATATCACAATGACATCAGACTATGATGAAATATACCACAATGACATTATGAAATGATAAAATATACCACAATGACAACACGCAATGATATTATATACTACAATGACATCATGAAATGAGAAAATAAACCATAATGACAACAAACGGTGATAAAATATATCCCAATGACATCAGACTATGATGATATATACCACAATGACATCATTCAATGATATTATATACTGAATATACCACAATGACATTATGCAATGATAAAATATCCCACAATAACATCATGCAATCATAAAATATACCACAATGACATCATTACTACAATGACATCATGCAATTATAAAATATACCACAATGACAACACGCAATGATATTATATACTACAATGACATCATTCGATGGTAAAATATACTATAATGACATCATGCACTGATAAAATATACC